AAAACCGGGTCTTAAAGGGCCCTCCGCCCAAATCCTTTTAGCCTTTTTGCCTACTCGAGGTCCTCTATCGAATGATGTATGAACGAACGAAATCGGAGCCGGACACCTGGGGCGGTTCCCTCGTTAGTTAATTAATCTCTTATAATAAAAGGCTTACCTGTAACACACAACAATTCCATATCTCTTTCTAAAGTCTCAATTATTTCATTCACTCGTTTATTTCTATCTATTGTTTGTAATTTTGCTTTTAATAATCGTTGTTCAAAATCTTGATATTGTTCTTCTGTGAGAGTTTTTTTTGCTACAACCAACGTTCGCAAACCTTCTCTAGCCATATTTGAACATTCTTCTTGTAACCAATCATTATATTGCACAATGGGTTGCATTACCATATCAGCACCTTTTAAATAGAAAATAATTTCATTTGTTTGATCATCTCGTACAATAATTCCCATTCGTTTTGTTTCCGAGGTAAATGGAAACAATTGTAATATGTGATAATGAAGTGTTTGTTGACTGAAATTTAAACATAATGTGATGGTTTGTAAATCACGATGAACTAATGCTAAACCAACTTGTTCTGTCCATTCAACTAACGCTATTTCATCGGGACTCGATGCTTGATACGTAACACCTACAACAGACAAATGTAAACGTCAATCTCTTGTAGAGATGTCAAGAAAATCTTTTCATAACAATTCCGTAGAGGTTAAAAAATTAAAATACTTTATCATGTTTTTTAAGCGTACGAATATTCAAAATTTCTTTGTAGTAAAAATTATTTGGTGATCCTTCTTTTATCTACTCTCTGCTAGACTATTTCAGAATCTTCTATTCATTTTTCCATTCTAACTTTCCATTTTCTTTTTTATTTCAAGTGCTATTCTTGTAAATATTTTAATCTGAACATTTCTTCGAAATCACAGAAAATGGCATACGTGTAATCTTAAGAAAATCTGATATTTCTACCTGTTCGCTGATCCATTTATTTATAGTAATAGGTCAGAAATCGGTCAAAATCTAGCAGTTTTTAATTTCTGTATTCTTTCATAATAATAGATGAACTATACCCTCTTGTGTATCAGGGTCGAGTGGTTGTGACGCTTGTTGTTCATCTGATAAATCATTGACTGTTGTTGATGTTAATGGTGAATCAGGTCGTGAACTATTTATTGAATATCTATCAACACTAGCATTCATCGATGTTTTCATATGTGATTGTTCTAGTGCTGGTGTTGTGGATTTTTGTTCAAAGACAGGTGTTACATTATGACAAAGAGCTAATGCCTTTATAGCGTCGGGAACTTTAGTAGTTTCAGTTCGTTTGACCACACTTCTTTTCTGCGTAGAGGAGGCCGCTTGTAATTGAGGTGATGGCTGTTTAAATTGTTGTTTAATTAAACGTGCAATTTCTGATTGATTTTCATTTGTATACGACACCGTGCCCATGTGGATACGTTTAAATATCATTAAATTTTGGGTCAATGTGCCTGGAAATATGATCAAAAGTTAGAAGTAAAGCCAAATTTTTACACGTTGATTGAATTAACCAATCATGTGAAATCTCCACTTAAAATAACAGAATGTCCCAAAAATCATTATCGGATAAAAAATTTGCATAACTCATTCGTGTCTTGACCAAACTTCAAACTTGTTTTTCTGTCTGATCGAGAAATATCCCAAGTTTTATTTAATGTATTGGAGAATTTTTCTTAATATTTGAAAAAATGTTTGGGTTTATTATAGTGAACTCTTTTTTAATAAATTATGTGTTGCGAAACTCTTTGAATGAAACATAAACAACTTCTGATATTAAAATAGAGCAGATGATGTTCACATAACAAAATAATTATTTACTTTATGTAAAAATGACCAGATTTCTTCAATCATTATTAAAGTGCAAAAAACTAATAAATTTTTTTCTAGATAATATTCACTGAGAAAAGAAAAAAAGTAATAGTAAAACTCGTGAAATATTTTTATACTCTAACGCGCGTTAGGTTAGCAGACATTAAACAAAAAAAAATTTAATGCATGCACAGTAGTTAAATGCTGTTGAATGCGTTATTCATTCCTTTCCTTCCTTTTTCCTTTTCAGTCAAGTTTTTGTTGTGTTAATGGATCCCAAGATTCGCCTTGCTATGGTCTACTAAGTACTGTGCATTAGCACCATTATGGTAGACTAGTCTCTTACACTTATACATAGTAAGAGGAAAACTTAGAAAAATTTCTAAGTGAATGTCTGGAAATGTATCGTATATCTCGTAGGAATACACATGGTAGAAGTTGGTCACGCAAAACAAAACGGTGATTGGAAAATCACAGTTTGAACGAGTTTGAACGCTTAGACACTCTGATCAGTCATCGTTTAACGAGTTTTATATAAGGTAAAAAATTATCTGACTCGTTTAAACAAATTAAATTAAATTTTGTATTCTTTATTTTTAAAACACATTTACACCGCATATCATCTATTTTTGGACGCGTTTTAATCCGTTAAATCTGATAGTTTAACGTATTGAAACGAGTTACAGAAATGTAACAAGTTGAAACAGATTAATGGAATGCACAATTAACGCGTTTGAAGTTATTAACTTCAATTAAGTAAACGCACTAATATTTAGAACGCGTTCGATACTCGCACTCCGTTTAAATCAGTTAAAAGCAACTATTTCAGCTGGAATTCGTTTTTTGTGCGTGTGAACAAAATATGAGCTCGTTAAACTTCCTAGAACCATATTTAACCGGATCTAAAACGCTACCACTCCGAAGAAACGTTATCACGCGTTATATTTGATAGTTTAGCCCGTTCAAACGCAATTTTCTGAAAAACTAAGATGTTAGCAGTTCATCGGCCAAGTGCTACAACGGCCGTTTCGAGACATCGAAACTTGGGACGGTCTTGATGTTGTAGTGTCCCAGAAATTGGTTAAAACCATGTTGCTACTAGAGGTGTGCAGGATATGAGCTTTTGTACTCTGTATCCTACTCTATAAACGTTTCTCGTACTCTACCCTATCAGCTTTTTTTAATCATAACCCTGTTTATTAAGAAAAGATACAACAAATTTGACTTAGCGAGCAGACCAAGGTCTGTGGTGCAGAGTCAACTAGACAATCTAATGAAGAACTAAGACAAATACATATATAGGTTGTACTTGTATCGGGTGGCCCAGATAAAATCGGACACTTTCATTCGCTGTTCATGAGGCATTGTCCGGTAGTCCACAGAGTTGATTCTAAGCTCAATCGATAGAGAATTGAATTCTCTAGAAAACTTGCTATTTGAATCTCTGATAATAGTTTTGTCGTTTGTGCACTATTCATAATATTGAAGAGTGCTGAGTTGCCTAGCTACGACACACTGAAAATAGAAAAATATTTGTCTTGATCTAAAAACAGATTTCATAAGAATTTTGGAAACACCAGAAGATTTACCGAAAAATTCTGCAGCTTCTCACATATTTTTCGAAATTTTATAGTTAAGTCTTCAAAGAAAATTTGTCTGTGCAAAAAACTGACAAATCCAATAAAACCTAAGTTTTGAACCTATTTTTCACAGAATTTAGTTTCTGGCCTATAAAAGCATTAAAATGTTGTGAATCCAGGGTTTTAGTCTTATTTTCTTACGCAGACTTAAATTCGACATCGTTTCATATTTAAACAAAGTTTCTCAATTGAAACCATTAATTAAAAAAATTAATTTAATTTGAAAAAATTGAAAAATCGGTTGAGAGCTAATTATAAGTTTAGCTGGCGTAGCAGAAACATTGTATGAAGTTGTAAAGAAGTGAGATCGATAGAGCACAAAATTCTCTATCTATCTACGTAGATAAATTAACTATTGAACCTCAGATAATGGGCTAAAAATCTCAAAAAAGGAGACGACAAAAGCTTGTCGCAGTCAGGCAACTCAGCACTCTTCAATATTTTGAATAGTGCTCAAACGACAAAACTGTTATCAGAGATTTAAATAGCAAGTTTTGTAGAGAATTCAATTCTCTATCGATTGAGCTTAGAACCAACTCTGTGGACTACCGGACAATGCTCCATGAACAACGAATGAAAGTGTCTGATTTTATCTGGACCACCCGATAATTATAACAATAAAAGAGAAAGTACAGTAATAGACAAATGTCTTTGAGTCTGTGATCATATTAGAAGGAGGGGGGGGGGGGGGAANNNCCCCCCGCCCGGGGGGCCCCGCGAATATGTTGTGCTCTAGACTGCAGCAGTGATCAGTAAGAAAGAAATGTTTTATCAGTCATTCACAGCAAAAACGAGCTGATTGAATGATATAGTCGGTAACAGCTTTGACAATAATCTTGATTTCTTGAGGTGTTAGAGAAATTTTCAGAAATAAAGTTTTTAAATCAAAAGAAAGATAAGTTAAATCCGATTGAAATACAGAACGTCGAGCTAATCTTGCAGTATCGAATAAAGGACACTCCAAGAAATAGTGAGAAAGGGCGTGAAATCTGATCGTGAAAACTTCTCGCACGGGTTCCCAATTTAAATCTCTAAGAACTCTCTCCTTAGAAGTGTACATCATTGCACCTGACACCGCACGAGCTGCCTTATACTGAGCTGATTCTAGTCTGTCAAGATTTTAGTCTGTTGTATTTCCATATATGGCTGACGCATAAGTAAACAAATTTAAGACAAAAGACTTATAGACCAAGTCTAATGACTGTCTGGACAGCCAGTGATTTATCTAGTGTGTAGACCGAGTGGGCGGCACCCACCCGAAATTTCGATTTGCCTACTCGAAAATTATACAGCTGATTTCGTAAAAAAAGACGATGTTCTCTCTCTCTCACTTTCACTCTCAAAGTTTTTAGCCAATAGCCCCTCCAAAAATCTCAAGTGCCCACTCGAAAAACGAAATCTAGATAAAACACTGTGGACAGCACACGTTTAGGGAGCTTTAAAAGACCAGTCAAACGATTCACTTTACTTAACACATAATCTACGTGTGCTGTCCAGTCAACATTAGACTTTAGAACCAAGCCTAGCTGTTTCTGTTCCGTGACATAAGGAATAACTGAATTATTGATCAAAACAGGCGGTAATGAAGCGAGAGTCTCTCGTACTAGGGCTGTGACAGTTACCATTAGCGTTACAGTTACCGAGTAACGGTGGTAACAGTAACTGGTAACTGTCACAGCCCTATCTCGTACACGAGTGGAAAAAACCATAGCGTTACATTTATCAATATTCAAGTGTAATTTCCAAGTTATAGACCATTCATAAATCAAGAGCAAGTCTTGATTTACTTGATCTATTACTTTTCTGATATCATTTTTCTTTGTTACACGGTAGAGGGATGCATCATCAGCAAAATTCATCAGCCGCATTGTAGAACTAATTTTTTCAAGATCATCAATAAAAATCAAAAATAATAGAGGCCCTAAGACAGAGCCTTGAGGCACTCCTCTATTAACCGTTTTTGCTGACGACGTAACACCGTCTTCCGTTGTCACGATTGCTCTGTTAGAAAGATAGCTGGCAAACCAGTTTACTAAAGACGGTGGTAGTCCCTTTACCGTTAACTTTGTTAATAGTCCTTTATGCCGGACGGTATCAAATGCTTTCCGAGAATCAAGAAAGACACTCAAAATCCGCTCACTGTTATCAAAAGCTAACAGGATTTCATGCACTATTGCGATTAGCTGATTAATAGTTGAATCTCCATGCCTAAAACCTGACTGATAAGCACTCAAAAGCTCATATTTTGTTAAGTATCCATACACTTTCCGATGAATCAAGCGCTCAAATATTTTGGATAGAGTGAACAGTAAGGTTATAGGACGATAGTTGTTCGCTTCATGAGGATCCCCTGACTTAAAAATTGATGTAACATAGCCAAGTTTCCAGGCTACAGGAAAATGTTCTTGTTTTAAAGACTCATTAAACGAGTTATGATATGTGTTATAACTGGATCCTATCAGTTTTCACATCCTATCCTATCCTATTGATTTCAGAGACTTTCCACCCTACACTAGACATAAGAAAGTAGGAGTAAAGTAGGATCATTCGTTCAGCGATTGAAGTTCGTTTTCCTACCTACAGTTTCATTCAAAAACAATAAACACATTTTATTGCTGCCGAAAATTCCCCAATAATAATAATATGTCGTCAAGTACGACAAGATTCAAGGATTGTCGTCTTTGTTCTAATATTCGGTCAGTAGTGCTGAAAATTCTTTCTGTTGTGACCGAACTCGCAGGAAATCCCAACAATGATCGAGATAAAAGCAGGCATAGATCCCTTCTGATGGATAACGAACTCATGCACCACCAAAGGAACGAATGTCTCTCAATATTAAGCGTTCTTTATCTTATAGGGTACTATCTATGACAAACGTCTCAAATAGTACCCTATAGGGTCTGCCTGCACACCTCTAGTTGCTACTGCACACTAATTCTAACATATACTATAGAAGGCAAAATTTATATAGAATGAATGAAAAAGAATGCTGCTGAGTTAAGTGTACATGACTACTACACATACAGAAACCGAACATCAAAAACAAAATAGAAATAGACAAGACTGTGATTATATCAGTGCACAAAATATCTTCAAACTTGGCGGTATTTAGTCTTTATGCAGCATTATTAGTACGCATACAAAAAACATATACTGTAAGTTATTCTTCCGTACTTACTTTTTTTACACAAAAATTTCCAAATATATCGAATCAAACTTGGAATGTTTCTATCAAACAGAAAAACAAGTTTGAAGTTTGGTCAAGAAACAAATGAGTTATGCAAATTTTTTATCCGGCAGTGATTTTTGGAACATTCTGTGAGTGATTAGACTAATTTGCCTGATATTACGGCATTAGGTAAGTATTCATTGTTACCTGTTTTATCAGATAGTAAATATCCAATTCGTCCTAGTTCTTCTGGTATTGTTGACGTTCTAACAACTGTACCCGGTATTTTTTTATCGTGTTCCATAAAATATGAATATACGGCTTTTCCCATATCCAAATTGACTCTTAAACTAATAGGTATCATGTATGAAAATAATAAAAAAAATCGTACACCATAACGCCACCATGGTCCATGAAATCCTTTCAACGCCAACATAATAACACTGAGTAAAATAAGTGCACCAAATAATAACTTTGTTAATGTATTTATTTCTAAGTCTAATAGACCAACTTTACTTCGTGGTTTTGAGGTATTCAATACACTTCGTGTATCCGATCCTGTGTAGATGACACAACAAATTGATTCACCGGTGGCTAATACTGTACCAGCCCATAGCATATTTTCCACACTCAAAGGCTCATCACTTTTCCATGATAATACACCGTTGAATTCATGAATATCTAAACGAGGTGGTTCAGCATGAATTTTACCCGAAGGAGTTGTCTCTGTTGTTAAAATTGTAACATCTGTTTGATGTGTAGTAGGTACAGCTATACGCAATTTCCAATCTGTTTCACCGTCCAATTGATCAGTACGAATAAAACATGTGCCTAATATTCGAAAAAAAAGAATTGTTTTAGAATAAACTTCCTTGAATGTTTAAAATACTTGCAATTTCTTCTATAACATTACCTGATTTATCCGATGTTTGTAATAATACTACATCAGCCGGTATCCTTTGATTTTTCTGTATTATAATAACATCGGATACTTGTAAATCAGAACTGGGTATTTTTCGACGTTTTCCATTTTGTATCAACGTATACATTTGAGAATTTAATTCTTTATCACGATACGCACGTTTAATATCGTCAATAGCTTCTCTTAACATTGTCACAAATAAAACAAAGCCTAATGGACCCCAATACGTATACAAGTAGCCAACACGAAATACTGGCACAAACTGAGTACAAGCCATAACGAGAAAATATAAATTAAGGAAAAATCGAAACTGTTCAAATAAAACTAACGGAATAAATGTCAAGAGATTATATTTCTGATTTCGAATAACATTTCGTGGATAATAAGTACGTAATTCACGTTGACCAATTGTGACGTTTCGAGGTTGAGTTCTATAAGATTGATTACGAAAAAAAGATAGGAATGATGAACAAGACAAACCCATTTTTGTTTTAATTTTTTCTTCTGGTTGTTGTTTATCTTTAAAGAGAAAAAATTAGCGATAACTCTTTCTGAATCTCACGCTGTCCACTATTATTCTTACCTTCTTGTGATTGTTGATGATTATTATTTGACTCTGATGTATGACGAAAATATTGAAAACAATTTAGTAGATTTGATGTTTGTTTTGTTCTAAAACGATTTTTTGTTATTATTTGTGTTTGTGGTGGTGTAAGATCTCGAGTTAATTCGTATTCATCTGAATATTCAATATCATTAGCTTCGTCGTTTTCATCAACTAAAGGAACATTTTCCATTCGAATTTAAACATGAATATTGTCACTTATGACATATCCTCTCTTCGAATATATGTTTATGTTTTACAATGCTAATACGAGAATAAAAGAATAAATATATACTTGAAATAAAAAAAGAAAAAAAAACAATCAAAATATAAATATGATTGAAAAAATTGAAAATTAGCGTTTAAAATCGATCCTTGACGAATGAGTGGAGCGAGCGACATGAGAAAAACTAATTAAAGTCTAATGAAGAATCTATTTTACACACAGAAAAGGAGGCAAACTATATCTGAAATGAAACATAAATCGATGTAGTGTTAAACGATCACAATCTGTCTTAGTATTACATTCTTTAACAAATTTATCACTAGTAATTTCTACTCGGCGTGGCCAGCTAACTCTACTACCGAAAGGGAACTCCGTAACATTTTCCGTACCACTCAATACTTTATTAAGATCTGCAGGAAGAGACATTTTCTAGCAGTAGTAGAGTTAGCTGACACGCCGTACTTCGGAAAATCTAACATGACTCACTTTACGAGAAATATTTTGTCAAAAAAAAAACTTTTTAAAATATCACTAAAATAAGAGAAGATAAGAAGCACAAAGTAATTTTATTTGTGTTGTTGTGTACATATTTATGTAATACGTGTTAATAAAGATGTTTTTTAACTTTTCCTAGTCAGGTGATGAGTAATCAATTGTTCGACTTGTGACGAAAAGAGCAAATAAAAACTCGATTTTTAGATTCTCAAACAATTGTCGTAGCAGGATATATCAAATCAGTCAGTTATGCACTATACAGTAATAGACACTGTTTTTTCACCCTACTTTTATTTCGAACAGAACAAGTTTTATTATATCTCTAACTATTTATCTTCTTCTTGTAATTTCTGTCCAATTCTGTCCAAAAAATCTGCAGTATCACAACGAGAAAAAAAGCAGTATGACGAAGAATGTTAGAATAAAAAGGAAATCTAGTTTTGTTTCTATTCAGTATCTATATAATGTGGAAATAAAGTAATCAATTCCTTTTCTCAATTATCTCCAGCAGCAGTGGAATGATGTGAGCTGTTTCAGACGTCCACCACTACTGATGGTTGATGAATAGTTTTTTCCGCCTAACTATTATTTCTGAAGGAACGTCTGTCTTATAGCTGTTAAGAGTCATCCCATCAACATTCGTAAAATATCTTCGACTTAAACCTAGTTAATGGTTGACTGCTTAGGCTTTCATAAAAATTTTACGGTTTCATTTTGACTTAGGTTTTTCATGCTTCTATCAAACGTAAGCTCTAGTTAAATTGACTGTCCCAGACATTTTTGCAGGTGTCTTAAATCAGTGACTTCTGATTTTTGAAACTTTTTCTATCTCGTTTCTACTCTTTTTTGTTTAAAAGTCTATTGTTTTTTTATTTTGAACTTCTTTTTCTGATTTTCTTGCTTCTAGGATCTAGTATCCCTGTCAGTGTTGTTATTTTTATACGTTTATTATTTCTTTATTTTTTTGTTTCTTTTATTTATTATAGAATCAAGTTTAAATTTATATTTGTTTATCAATATCTCACGAGCCGTGTGTATGATTTTGTAGGTTCTTGAAATAATCTCGTAAAATGTTTTTTTAATACGAATTTAAGCTTAAGAAAAACAGAAGCGTTGGATAAAGTTTTCCCGTTTTGACTTTAGTCTTGTTTCGATTTTGATCTGACCAGCATCAAATGGCTCTAATTATCTGATTCCTTCGCTTAGAGCAGGACAGTTGCAATGAAGGAATGCAGAATGTTTATTGATTTATTGTTGTCATCTTAGCTAGGACTGTGAAAGTTGCCGTTGCGTTGATTTAATGCTAACTGACAACACAGTTACCGTTGTTTTAACGGTAACTATCAGTTAGTTAACTTTCTGGTAACTATTTCTTAATTATGGCAGAAATATCCAGGCAGCGGCTTAAAATGGCTTCCAAAATCGTTAGTTTTCTACTAAACGTATTGAAACTTTAATAAATGACATGATTTTGATTGACACACACGTGCCAGTCGACCAAACTAGTCGAAATTATATAACTTCCATGTTTTGTAACTGCGGTTTTTAAGGTCTCTGGAGACCTCAGCATCTACGGCCAGCTTGAGAAATGTTTTTGTTTTCATCAACGAAATTAAACTACAAAACTCTGCCATTTATGAAAGTTTCAACAGTTTTAGTGGAAACTAACGATTTTGAAAATAGTGGCGTAACCAGGAATCCGTGGGTGGTAGGGCAGTGCCCCACGACCTTTAAAAAATCCATCTACGATAGTTTAAATTTTTTCCACAACTGAAATACAGTTGCTCAGTTTTCACTTTCTTAAGAGAAAGACAATCCACTGTATCTGCACTTTTATTAAGTGGAATTATATGAACAAAAGAGAAAAAGAAAATGAAATAAATAAACAAATAGTTATTTCAACATTATTCGATAAAAATCTTAGTGGAAATAATAATTTTTTGTTTCTCTCGGTGCCCGGGCAAAGACTGTCGGTGGCCGGGCGGCTCCTGGTCTAGCCCACCCCTGGTCACGCCACTATTTGGAAGCCATTTTAAGCCGCTGCCTGGATATTTCTGCCATACTTTCACTGCCATAAAAATAGTTACCACCAAGTTAACTAACTGATAGTTACCGTTAAAACAACGGTAACTAGAAAGGCAGTTACCGTTGTTTTAACGATAACTGAAAAGATAGTTATCGTTGTCGATAACGGTCGAAGAAGTAACGGTAACTTTTACAGTCCTAATCTTAGCGAAACATTTTTATTCTTTTAACCTTCTCCAACTGATAATGTAAAGTGAACTGGAATCTCATATACCTTTTGTTAAGACTTAATGAAGAATTTGGTTTCTTATGAAGAATTGCCGACTATCATGTCAGCTTTGGTTAGACAAAAAATTCGTTTTTGAAATTTTAAAAGCATCTTCGGTCAAAACTGATTGCAGATTTGAAGTCTCCGTGGTCGGTTACCTTGCACGCAACAAGTTTTGAATCGGATACTCTAGAAAAAAGTTTCAGTCTCATTCAGCCGTTGGTCCTCTCCCGGAACTTTGTAAAAAATTCTTTTGCAATACAATGGAGAAAATTTTTTCTGGAGTATCCCGATTCAAAACTTGTTGCGTACAAAGTAATCGACTATCGAGAGTCTGAATCTGCGATCAGTTTTGGCCGAATACGCTTTTAAAATTTCTCGACTGAATTGAGATGTGTAGCCCGTTCTAGGACAGCCTAGGAAGAACTCTCACCTTTTCGCTTTTAGATATTTACTTACTTTCTTATTTACAAGCTATTTACATAGCTCATCATAATAAATCATAGGCTAAAAAGTCTTATGTGCGAAGGATGTAGGATCTTTGTCTAACATATTAAAACTTTACTCTCAAGAAAATGCACGGAGTTGTAGAAAGGACTCAGTAAGGAGAATTTTTCTTATTCTATTCAAAGTGGCGGTAAAAAACATAGCTGCCACCTTATCCGGATTTTCCGGACAAATTCCGGCTTTTTCAGTTTTTTCCGGAATTTGTACGGATTTTTAAGAAATTTTCTGCTGTTGGCTGTTTCTTTCCGATCATGAAGATTTTCACGTATTTTCTTCTCTATAGTTTGTGGCGGTTGCCTTTCTCATATTATAAGCCAACTAAAGTGCTAGTTACTCGAATCAAAAATATACATTCAAAAAACAGCGTGTCGATTAAAACCGAAATTAATATTTATGTATTTTCACCTTTTTGGTGCTCTGCGTATTAGAAAGAGATTAAATAAGACAGTAAAAATGGATTTTCGTTTTTTTTCCGGATTTCTGACTAAGTATATTTAATATAATTGAAAAACATATTTATAAAATGATTTTACATAAAAAGCGAGCTTTCGATACTTCACAGTATCATCACGCTAATATGAAAATTGGACAGTCGTATTAATAATAATACTGGGAAGTATCGAAAGCTCGCTTTTTATGTAAAATTTTATAAATATGTTTTTCAATTATATTAAATATACTTAGTTTTACGAAAAACGTAAAAGGTCAAAGAATGTCAATATATTCGGATTTCTGACTTGTAAAGATGGCAGCTCCGATAAAAGGCATTATTTTAATCTATCTTTTGTAGAAATGAGGTGTATGTATATTTGCCAATATTACCATCATAATTGCTGTCTGTTTGCATGACTTTCATAGCAAATAACAGTCGGGACAGTAAACGTAAATTGGTAGTAGTATAACGTAAATTATAAATCTGTTTATGTTGGAAATTTTTTTGTTTTGTTCCAGATTTAATATCTTGCCGTTTTACATTTGAACAATACGATACAATGTCATCGGTAAATAATACAAATTTAATTAAATAATTAGTTATTATTTGATCCGTTTTTTCCACTTTAGACCGGTGAAGGAAAAAGTCCAATTAGAATTTTGATTACAGGTGCAGCTGGACAAATAGCATATTCACTTTTGTATCAAATATGTAGTGGAGATGTATTTGGACAAGATCAGGTTTGTACAGAAGAATGATGTGTATTTTCATCATTCACTGTTTGTTTATTTCTGTTTATAGGAAGTAATTGTGAATTTATTAGATATTACTCCTATGTTAGGCGTTCTTCAAGGTGTGGTCATGGAAATTGAAGACTGTGCATTGCCACTTGTTAAAGGTTTATTTTTTTCTAAAATTTTTACTTTTATTTTTCATTTTTTTTCTTGATTTTAAGGTGTTTTTCCAATGGATAAAGAAGATGAGGCATTCAAAGATGTTGATGTTGCTATATTTGTTGGAGCAATGCCACGTAAAGAAGGAATGGAACGAAAAGATTTACTAAGTGCTAATGTTAAAATATTCAAATCACAAGGAATAGCAATAGAAAAATTTGCCAAAAAAACATGCAAGGTATTGTTTGATTGCCATTTTAAATTTTTTATAACGTAACAATTTTGTGTATAATTTCATAGATACTTGTGGTTGGCAATCCAGCTAATACCAATTGTTTCATACTAGCACAAAATGCACCATCAATTCCACGTGAAAATTTTACTTGTTTAACGAGATTAGGTAAATGTTTCATCTAGCGCAAAAATTCTTCAGGTTCGAAATAGGGCGGCTTTTATACACAAATTACTGTTAATTAAATATTCATCACTGTGTTTAGATCATAATCGTGCCATTGGTCAAATAGCATCAAAATTGAAAATATCTCCAAAACTAGTTAAAAATGTTATTATTTGGGGTAATCATTCGTCAACCCAATTTCCTGATGCACGTTTTGCAACTGTTAAAGCTAATGATAAAGAAATGCCAGCTTATGATGCACTTAAAGATGATAACTGGTTGAAAAACGATTTTGTTTCGGTAAGAATTACTTGTTTCTCTTCAATTATGTACTGGGACACCTTGCTACGCGAAAGACGATTATACTGATAAATTTGACTCTGTTTGATTTTATGCATGAAATTCGATTTTAAAATTTTTGTTTGTCTGTTTAGATCGTTCAAAAACGTGGTGCTGCAGTCATAGCGGCTCGTAAACTCTCATCAGCAATGTCAGCGGCTAAAGCTATTTGCGATCATATGCGTGATTGGTGGTTTGGAACAAAAGATGTATGTCATTAAGCACACGTCAAACTCACTATCATTTGTAATTTCTCTCTTTTTCTTGCTTTCCTAGCATGAATGGGTCTCAATGGGTTTAATTAGCGATGGTTCGTACGGTATCGAAAAAGGCCTTGTCTACAGCTATCCTGTTCAAATTAAAGGTGGTAAAATTTCAATTGTTCAAGATTTAAAAACGGATGATTGGTCACGTGATTTAATGGATAAAACACAAAAAGAATTAGTCGAAGAAAAAAATGATGCATTGAAAGCAACATCTAATTAATAAATGGTTAACAATAGGCCAAATAACAGACAGAAACATTTATTGAAGTATTTTCTTTTTTTCTGAAGTTATTTATTCTTTTCTAACATGCATCCAGTAGTACTAGGTCTTCCTTTTTTTAGTCTACGTTTTTTTGTATTTTTTCCTCGTTCACAAGTGGTGACGATTATAACGGGTTTTTTATTTTACTTATTCAAGTTTTCTGTGATTGCTAATTCGTTATTGAGACAAAAAAAAAACGTATGCTTAGCATCTCAATGAAGACATACAGTTAACAATTCGGAACAGCACTTCGAAGTAAGAATGTGCACAACCACTTAATCGTGGTTTTTACATCTATACTGTGTTTTTCTAACGACGAAAAAACTCCAAAGTCTTTTAACTCTTTTGTCGTAAGTCCGTATCCAGAATATCTGAAATACTGATGGTTTTAGATAGTAAATTTGCATTTCGAAGAAAAATGGCGGGTAGTTTAACACGACTTCCAATAGTTGAACAATTATCACCGTTGGTTACTCGAATATTGGGCTGCAATCCCAGCCCAATGACGTTGCAAGGTACAAACACCTATTTAATAGGAAATGGAAAAAGGTATAAAAATAGAAGAATGTGTTAAATATGCTATATTATAGATTCGTGGATGATGTTTCAACAGTTAATATAACTGTCTGCTACTTTTTGATTTTTTTTTCTAGCCGTATTTTGCTTGATACTGGACAACCGAATATCCCAGAATATATTGACCATTTAAAGAATGTTTTATCCAACACAGGTGTAACATTAGAAGCCATTTTGATTACGCATTGGCATCCAGACCATATTGGAGGAATTCGCGATGTTCTTAAAGCAGTTAATCAAGGTACTTGTACTAAAACTAATCCTTTCTCTTGCGAGTCTTGCAAATGAAGCATGGTTTCGTTAATTTTTTAGCAAATATTCCTATTTATAAACGAAAATTATTGGAAATACCTGATAGTAAAATATTAAGTACCTATGGCATTGAAAATCCAGATGACTATACGCAATTTACATTTATTGAATCAAATCAAGTTATAGAAACAGAAGGAGCTCACCTTAAGTATGAATTGCAGTGAAAGATCTCTGATAATAGTAGATACAAGAAAATCTAGTGTTTTTCCTACTCTTGGTTTACTCAAAATGCTGATTGTCATTATTTAGGGCAGTACATACTCCCGGTCATTCGACCGATCATTTATGCTATCTATTAGAAGAAGAAAATGCTCTGTTTTCTGGTGATTGTATTTTGGGAGAGGGAACAACAGTTTTTGAAGATTTACATGATTATATGAATTCATTAAGCAAAATATTAAATTTAAAACCGAAACTAATTTATCCTGGTCATGGGCCTATTGTGCCTGATCCTCAAACAACAATTGAACATTATATTTCACACCGTCAACAACGAAATGAACAAATTTTAGCCGCGTTGAAGGACAAGGACGCTTTAGAACCGATGGAAATAACAAAAATTGTTTATACGGTATGTATGACAATATTCATTTTCAATTTGAAAAGTCTCAATCAGGTGCATAATATTAACAATGAATGTGCGATACAATATGGGGAAGAAGTTTTTGATTCATGATTAACTGACGAAATTGTAAACTCTAGTTAATACTTACAAAACTGAATACAAAATTTCTTATTTGTCCTTGATTAGGATATAGCTGAACAACTTTATTCAGCTGCTTGTCATAATGTTGAAAATCATCTTCGTATGCTTGAGAAACAAGGTCAAGTAGGTAAGTCTATAATCTATGAAGGATATTTTATGTGGTTAAATTACAAAAGATATGTATTCTACTACTTTTAGCTACTGTTAGAAACAAATGGGTGTTTGTTTCAAACAAACCACGCACAGAGTCAAAAATTTAATGTTTTTTTCATTTGTTTATGTATTTATACTGTGTTCTTAAAATGTTAATATAAATGAGAAATATAGATGTGTTTGGCACACAAGCGCAAATCAAACATCTCTATATGAACTATTGAGTACTCCACCAACTAGCGGAGTTTAACGACCTCATGGAGTGTCGTATTCAACGCATTTCGTTTCCTTTATTCTAACTACTAATTCTTATGCGCTTAGCAATGACAATAGCAGCAGAACAAGTACACCCTCTTATCGTCTACTTGATTTATCGTTTGGTGGTGGTTACTAAGCATAAGGAGGTAAAAATAATCTAATTTAACACTGGTAAAATAACAACGTATATCTAAGCATTATGAAACTTAATGAAGAGAGGGAAAAGAAAAAAGTGTTTTCAGTTACTTATGCACATTAGTCGCATATCAGTCATAGGCAGCTGTTTCCAATTCTTCGTGCGTCATATTCTCTTTTAGATGCTTCCACACAGGTCCGTTCACTCTATACAGACCATCTTGCTGCAAAAATTTCACTTTACCCATCGTGTAGAGCATAAAAAATAATCTAAAGGTCTCGCTTACGCTTTTTTGAAACACCGTATGGAAAGTGATTTTCTAGACATCTCAAGTTTTTCGTGAAGGTGAAACCGAAGTCGGTGAAAATGAAGGAAACATTGCATATTTATACATCAAATTGTAGCTCTTGACGAGTCGATTCTAATGGTGAAGAAATTCGATCTCGATCTAACTTTACGTTCGAGTGGTACTCAATTTACTTGAAAAACTCCTGAAGTTTGGCCTCCATTTTCTTCTAAACGCTCCAAAACTTTTTCGAGATTTTTTCAGGATAGGAACTACTTAGTAGAATCTATAACTTTGCCCATACAACTATCCTCAGCACTTTCCATTTTTTACCCTCAGTTTTCCAGAAAACCCGTTAAAACCTTAGCTCATGAAAAGAAAATTGAGCTATTATGACTCTATATTCCTGTTCAGCATGAAGAATTCAATGTACTTCAACGTTTTCTGAGCCTTCTTTTTGTTTCTGTACCACAGTTTTCTAGAAGGATTTCTGGAAAACTGAGGGTGAAAAATGGAAAGTGCTGGGGATAGTTGTATGGGCAAAGTTATAGATCCTACTAAGTAGTTCCCATCCTGAAAAAATCTCGAAAAAGTTCGACGAGAAATAGAAGAGAGAAAGCTACAGTTGAAGAGTGGATGGACTAAACAAAATTGACTACATATACGAAAAAAGAATGAACAATAATGAGTTCAGTTTTACTCTAAGAAACTTTTATTTTTAGATATTTTAAATTATGAGTGTAATTTACAAACGCTATTTAAATTGCAGAAATACGAACAGAGACAAAGACGCCGCGTGTTGGTATGATGAGTAAACAAGCTTAAGTCCGTCGATCAGATCGAATGAGGGCAAAGCAACTTTATTGTTATATGTATTGCGGACTCTGGATGTGTCTGATTTCTGTGATCTAAGATCAGAATGATAAACTATGGTTTTTTTGTATTTTTTACTCATTCACAAGTAGTGACGGTTATAACGGGTTTTTTATTTTACTTATTCAAGTTTTCTGTGATTGCTAATTCGTTATTGAGACAAAAAAGCGTATGTTTAGCATCTCAATGAAGACATACAGTTAATAATTCAGAACAGCACTTCGAAGTAAGAATGTGCACAACCACTTAATCGTGGTTTTTACATTTGTACTGTTTTTTTCTAACAACGAAAAATCTCTAAAGTCTTTTAACTCTTTTGTCATAAGTCTGTAAAGATTTGAAAACAGTAGAAACGGAAAATAATTACCTTTAATTTAAAGCAACAATCTAGTTCCCCAAAACTACCTTCAGTCTTTCAAACGTCCAAAAAGGGCATTTTCCAAAGAAAAATATACATAACGATCATTACGTCGACAGTAGCGGTCTCAAAAGCATATTCCAGCGACCTTGCCTTTGTTCTTATAACTTAAGAAGCTATTATAAGAGGAGATCACAATTACTTGAATTGATCAAGCCGTTCTGAAAGCCGTTTATTTATTCTTCGGTGTTGTACGTTCTTAAAACGTTTGTAACTTTACAGAAAGAACAAAAATTCATTGGCAAAATTTCCATGGACGAATAAATTTTCGGTAGATAACCTTCACTAAAGTATTTAGATCAGTCGTAGGGTTCTTTTTTATCGACTACTGACGCTTTGCATAGACGAAAAACAACATTTTTCAAGATGCATATACCTCTTGACTCAAGAGTCAATACTTTAATTTATAGAAAATGTTACTCAACATTTTTTGTTCTTATTTTTAATTCTTAGCGACAGTTAACTCACCCAACGTACACATCAAAGCGCGGCAGAAGTGAGCCTTCGATGGCTAAATCAGCGTGTTTAATATATAATGATGCGTGGATCACGTCATATCAGAGCAACATGGATATTTATGATGAAAAATGCAAATCCACACTGCGTGAGATCCACATTATTTTTTTCTTTCTGCATAATAACCATTTTTTCCTACCATACATATCCTTTATTTTTCTCAAAAAGAAATTCAAATGTTTAGATATGCTTGTGTCTTTGTGCTGGGAGATGTCTCATTTTAATCAGAAATTTGCGGGCTACAATCATGCCTTATTACGAAAGGTTCGCGTTATATTTTAGAGTTTTTGAAAAACTGGTTTTCTAGAAAACCAGGTCTTCGAAGGATTAAGGACAACCCCCATGGTCATATTCGGAATCGGCATGATCGATAACCTGTAACCCACTAGATTCCGAGCAAAAACCGTTTAATCACTTGGAAAGGTTTCCTCGTCAGCTAACTATTTTTGAGCCTTTGCACATTTTTTCTATTTGAAGCTAAAATTTTTCTTGTTTCCATTCAGTTTCTGATAAGAGCTATTAATTCGCTGTGTCATGTAGAATAAACGGATATGACGATGGGCGCAGTTGAACTAACGATTGCCTATCGAATGCATTCGAAAGTGGAGAATTATCAGAGTAAAATTATTCGATTTACAATTGTAAACGACTTTTTTTCCTGAGTTAAACATAAAAGTAAAGAAAAACTACTCAAAATAGTAAATTTCGTGTTATTACAAGAAAATCATCCTATTCATACAATTCTTATGAATTCTGCTATTTATAAATGGATGCCTTCATTGGACCCGTTTTCTCGTGCATTTCACATGTACATATTTTTTGTAATATTTCAAAATAACAATAGCGTTGAAAAGAAAGAAATTCTGTTTTGGATTGTTTTTATTGGTTTGATTAACTTTTCCTGCCCACCTTTGAGAAGTATCTAGGTACATCACTACGCATGATGTTGGATTATCTTGGCCGTTTTGCGGTTAGATATCGATATCGATAGAGCTGGAAGTTAGGTCTAGGTCTTTAGCACCTACATCAGCTTATATTGATTGTAACGCTTTGGATCGCCGAGAGGACCTTATGGGATGTTTGAATGCGTGTTTGAGTAAATCTCTCTTTAAACCCTCACTTGACAATGGAGATCAAACATCAAACTAAATGTCTTGCTTTGCTTTCATTTTTTCCAAAAAAATATTCAATAAAAATTTACTCTTTCCTCCTCGCGACTTCGTCTGAATACTGCGTAAATTTTGAAGTACAAAGATGCAGCGAAATATTCTTCTTTGTTTCATTTAAGTTACAACGGAAAACTTCACTCTCAAACAATGTAAATTTTTCGTAATGTTTCTTTTTGATAAGTACGCGTTAGGTAGGTTTCCTTTTCGTTCCAGTATCAACATCTGTGGAGTTATTATTTCCCTTCAATACCGCAAAACACGATGTTTTGTAGTGGAAACTTTTATCCTGATCCAATTTCTATTCTCCGCAACCCATTTGTTATTTTGTTTCAAGACTTTGGTTTAAAAATCTATTCACATTTAAGATAAAGATCGAGTCATATCTATCACACGAGGTATATATTTACTTCATCTATAGAAACAAACAGAATAGGAAAAGAGAAACTACTTTTTCTTTAACAGATGAAGAAATATATGCTTAATGTTCCTTGTTTCTAGACATCGATACTGTAATCGTCGATCTTCAAGAGCCAACAGTGTGCTTTTTTAGCAAATAGTATGAAAAATTACTCAAACAAGTTTTCTTTGATTCTTTATATCACAGTTTCTCTAACGCTTTTATATTTCTCCGATTCATTAAAATAATGAAGAGAAGGAAATCTCTTTTGAACAGATACCTATGTTTCAGCTTCTGAATGAAGTATCTTAGTACTCACAGTAGGCTGTTTTTAACAATTAAGAAACCGGAAAGATCAGTCACTAATCGCACAGTATCCATGCATAAGGCATTCATTTCCGAAAAATAGCATTTTTCTTACTTCTCAAATAAGACTATTTGCAAAATGTTACTTAATCATTAAACAAAAATTAAAAATGTTTCATGCCAGCTCGTCTTAAGCAGGCAGAAAAGAAAGAAGTTATGAGGTAGATGATCTATTCAAATATTTTAAGGAAGAAGCAAGGGGTTATGCTAGTGGACGTGTGATATTAAAAAGAGAGACGAGCTTTTTGCTGTTTTGGGTAGTGCTTGTCTTAAAAAAAATTAGTCATATTAGTTACTCATGGTTAATACGGAGCATACCGGAGAAAAGAATCTACTTTATGTTTTAGAATAATGAAACCAAACGAACAGACGCCGTTGGCTCGATCCAAAATTGAACTTGTCAAATTTGTTTGTCATCAGTAAGTAAACATCTCGAGTAATAGATTTTTGAATTTTAAAAATGTATTTTCGTTCATTTTCGTTTAGATTACATCCATTTGCCTATGCTGTTAGTACATTTTTGAGGCCAGCTTTAGACGAATGTCAAACCGCCATACACGATGATTCTGTGAACACACTCGATCTATTAATTCAACTGGCTCAAACATTTATTCGTACAGCTCCTGAACCAGAATTGATCTACGATGATATCAGAAAATTTGCTGGTAGGAAGATATGTAAAAAAAGTACAGCTGTGCTAATCTGAATTCTTTTAGCTGATTTACGATCTACAATCGACGAATGTATGCGTGTCGTTGATGTCAATCAAGTTAAGCATCCACCAACTGTCATTGAAGAAACGTTAAATGGTTTACAGAGCCTAGTTGAAACAGCAGGTGACTTATGAAACTTTTTTTCTGCTTTATGCTAGAGCTAGACGGAGGTCTCGACCATATGTCCTTATTTTTAATTGTTTTCAGTTGAAGATCAACGTTATACAACATTATATAAAAATTTATCAGGTATGGTTTTTTCAAGATAGTTGGATAGACAGAATTATTAATTAATTCTAACAACAGACAGTAATAGTAAGCTTTTTCTTTGATTATTTAGTTTTAACAAATTTGGAACGGATTAATTCATTACCAACAGAAAATTTAATTCAACTTTCTTCATATGCACATAATCACCGACCCCATTCATCCAATTCAGATCGTTATTCAGCGCCAGCTTCTCCAACAACACACGGACCACAACAACCATTACTGACAACAATCGGTGGAACATCAACAACACCATCTTGTAGGTCTCATGAATATACATAGATAATCCTTTTAATATCTAAAGATTATCTTCACTACCTTTAGTTTCGAATCGTCATGAAATTCCCCATCCAACAACCAATGGCCATTCTAACGGCTCTATTCGTTTCAATAATTTTCAATTTCAACAGCAATCACCTCCACAACCATCCCAGATCATAAATCGTATTCAAGCTGAATCACCATCATCTCGTATTCAGCACGCATCGTCGTCGTCTTCATACACAGAAGCGTCAATTTCTCCCTCACCGCTACCATCTAAATTTCTAAATGCGCCAAAACAACAACAACAACTGTCGGAAAAGCAAAATTTGACATCTCAAGTTAAAAACTCATTAACAGCTTCCACGTCAAATTTTCTGAATAATCGTCAAGAAATAGCTTCGTCATATTTGGATGAATATGAAATTACTGATACCTCTAAAAAATTAACGACACCAATTGCCTCATTTCCTCCTCGATCATCCTCATCCTCATTGGTACAAAGTACATATACAAATACACCAGCAGTGAAAACAGCAGTGACAACGGTAATAAATGACGCTGGCTATTCTTTTTCACCAATAATAAAACCAATAGTGGCACCTACACAACGTCAATACATTGCTGAAGATCATTCTGAGAAAAATTCGATACAAAAGCATCCACTATCAATAGATTCAGCTTATGATAGTCAACAACGAACAACAACCTCAATACCGTCAGAGTAGGTCATATAGTTTGAAGTTTGATATGGTTTAGTGGATTTTATGAGTTTAGACGAACAGAAGGTTACTATGAAGACATCGACAATTATGAAGAGGAAGAAAAAGATTTTGTTGATCAAGCTGAAGCAAAACAATATTATTTGCAGCCTGCATTTAATGATCCACAAACGGCTGCTGCATCATACATTCCATGTAAACAGTATATGTCGATAATAGATGAAGAATCCATCCAAAATCAATCTTTAGTAAAAAATGATATTGTTAAAAGACATGTTACAGATGATTATCTAAGAGAATGGGGTACTAAAAGAGGTAAGTCATTCTTTTGTTGAAAAGCGTTATTTTACATTTTGAATGAATGTTTACTGCTAAGCAAATTAATACTATTTTGAAATTTAAAGATGTACTTTATCTCTTCATTTAGAACGTCCTGCATTACGTGGAAACTGTTTTATGATATATGGTAATCAACAAAATCCGAATGAGCCACGTCGAAGTCAGACAAGAGGAAGTTCAAACGATTACGATCAGAATCAAAGTAGTTGTCTTCCAATCGGTGTTTCATTAACAAATGATGATTCAACAATATTATCATGTGATGTGCATGTCAATTCAAATTGTGTACGATTGTATGATGTTCAAAGTGGTCAACTGAAACATTGTATATCTAGTACACGTGTAAGTAGTAGTGAACGATAATCGACGAGTATTTATAAGCAAGAGTACTTCTTTATAGATAGCTGTTTCAGTCGTTCACTCTACCTTTTTCATTTAGGATATGAAATTAAGTCGTCCAAGTGCTGCTCTAATGAATTTACGTGACCAAATTGTTATAAAAGAACGTAATCATGTTTATATTGTTGATTCAGGTAGTGATACACTCCTAAAAACAATATATGACCGAAATTCAATGAAAAATTTATATGGTATGTAAAATAACTTAAAATATTCGCGATAAAAATACTAATACTTTCTTTTTGTGTTAGGTGTTTGTTTATATGAAAATAAATATTTGTTAACAATTGATCAACAACGTCCAGAAAGTGCTCGCATTTTGTTGATTGATCAAGATACGGCACAAATTGTTCATTCGTTTGATTTCACATCAATTAGTTTAGAAGATGAAAATTTGATTCGACGAAAATATAGCAGTGAAATTTTACATGGACGAATATTACAACCACAAACGAGCAAATTACGATTTCTTGCCGTTAAAAATGATAGAATTTATATCAGCGATTTAGGTATGATATGCTTACTGTTCAGAGATGAAAACAGAGAAATTTATTTTTCAGAATCCTTCCCGTCTCACTTCGTCACTTTTCGGAAATGCTTCATGTAGCAGTGCCTTTTCTCTTCAATGTTAGTATTTCATTTTTAGGTCGTAGTTTAATTTATGTTACAAATATTCATGGCCAAATACTGGATCATCAGTTTACATTTGGTGGTACTGGCAATCAACCGGGCGAATGTTGTGATCCAGCGGGATTGATTATTGATACAGCGGGAAATATTATTAATGCTGATAGTAAAAATGATCGTATTCAGGTATGTAGCTGATAGAAGTTAACCATTTCGAATCAAAGTATATTTATTAAGAAATACTGCGAAAAATTTGAACATCTTTTATTTCTATTAGGTTAATCTTCTACATGTAATATAACAAATTCTGTTTCGTTTAGATTTATTCATCTAATGGTGAATACAATACCAAATTTCAGTTGAATGAACCGATACGTCGTCCGTCCGATATTTGTATTAATCGTGCTGGTACTCAAATATTTATATCATGTTATCTAAAAAGTTGTGTCAAAGGATTTGATCTAAGATTTTGACAACATGTTTTTTTTTCTTGAATAGCTAAACGTTTTTTTATTTTATTTTTTTCTCTTCCCACACACATACATACACGTGCATGTTTCATTTCCAATGCATTTCGCTATATTTTATTTTACACAGTATTAGAAACTCACGCGTGTGTGTGTGCGTGTGTGTGTGTGTGCAAGTCTTTGCCTTCTGTGTTGAAAAACGTTTTCTATCAGTTTGCTCTTTTAAAAACATGTTCTTACTTTTTTTTCTTCTGTGATTAAAGTAGCACAAGATCGATGTGCTTGGTTTGTTTTTTTTTTTCTAAGAGATTTTTTTGTGTGTTCTAGTCAGAAAAAGTGTATATGAAAAACACTTATTCCAGGAGCACTTTTACGTTTATTTCGTGCGAAAAAGAGAAGCAGTTTTTTTTGTTCTTTTTTCATTTTATGAAAAATGTAACAATTTCAAGTGAAATAAGCATATATAAGTAGCTTTAATTGTTGTTTTTTGTGCTGATATGTACATGGTTATCTCTTCTTTTTCTTTTTTGTTATTTACTACAGTAAATAAAAGCATATCTGTGTGATATTATGATAGATAATTTAAGATTGAAATAAATGATTATGAATAGTAAATCAGAGACAATAAGCGTGTGTTTTAGATTAATTAGCTCGAGAATCAGTGTCTGTACAATACTAAGAGTAGAAAATGTTAATTCTTACAGCCATACTGTGTGTCCAAAAAAGACTATATTCCTGACGTCTATATATCAGAATGATTTAGTAGGACATATACATATCGACTGACAGTCTTTGCTTGTAAAACAAATTTTATTTGTATACTTTTTTTGAATTGATTCCTGTTTCATAGTAAACAAGTTCCTTAATTTTTTTCTGAATAGTTTCTCAACTTCTCCGTATGATTTACTTATTACAGTGTTGAAAAACAAAAAAACATAGAGTTTGCAATAGATTCGAAAAATGTATTTGTTCGTTTATCTTTATAAACTAAATTAGATCCGTTTATTCGAACAAAGATCCTGGGAAAATCATTTGTTTCAATCCATTAGTATTTTCAACGAATTATACAATAAAAACAATCGAAAAACTTATTATGTTCGTTAGCAACGTTCATGCACAAATCGTTCTTTATATAACACAACATTTAAATGAAATGAAAGACCAAAACTCGTAAAGTCTGGAAGTTTTCACGGTTTTGCACACGAAAAACCAATGCGTTCAAATTCAAATTCAATTTGCCAAAATTTGACCACAGTATACATTTGCATACTTGTAATCGTGATTATCTGAGTTCTGTACAGGAAAGAGTGAGCGTTTCTAGCATCAGAAAAAGAGTTGCCTTCCAATAAAAAAAAAGGTTTAATCAATCAAGAACCTAGGAGCGTATAAAAATTTTAAAACCAATGCGGCTATCATGTTGGGAATTTTAATAAAAAGTTTTAATCAAATAATAAATGGTTTTAAAATTTTTATTCTTAACTTTGCCCATAAACTCGAAAAACGCTAGGAGCGTATGCTTTCTAGTTTTATAAGTTTTGCACAGAATGTCGAGCGCCGTTTCTGTATGTTTCCACTATTCTGAAGATTTTGCCTTTTTTTGTTTGAAAGAGCAAAGTCTGAACTACAAAATGTGCATTAAACAAAATTTTTTTCTCGCAAAACTTTATTGAGAAAAAATTCAAAAACTAAACATCACTAAAAGTATTTTGGTAAAATTTTACTAAAACACATATCAAGAAAATCTTTTCACTGGTATCAAAAATAATCATTTTTTACTGGAACCAAACACATGAAAAAATAGTCCGTGAAAAATTCTATCAACCTGATCGCCTTAAAAAATTTTCAAGTTTCTTTTTAGTAGTTTTTCTGAAACGCTTTCTAAAAATCAGCCAGTCAAGCGATTACTTCTTCACGAAAACCAAATAAAAGGAAAATCTATTGCACATTGTTCGAAAGAGCATTTCAAACACTCTTAGATATAATAATCAGTTATAACAGCTACAATACTAAAATTATGTATTTTTCTGTGCAAAGTGTGCTAAAAAATGTTTAACTCAAAGAGGAAAAATAGGAAATATAACCTACTTTTTTTTCAAACTACAGCGGTCCTTAATCGACTTTTAGATATCAAAAACTGTTAGAAATCAAAAAATTACATTTTCCAATGATTGTCTCTCATTATCTGCTGTAAACTATATGTGACAGAAGAAATGCTCCGAATGTAATACTTATACGTTGAGTTGGTTTTCGTTCAGATTAACAAAATTTCGGCTGAAATTAATTGTAAATCTAAATAAAGTACGTCTATCTTACTACATGAGCATTTTTTGAAAAAGAAAAAATACTTGACAGTTGAAAAGAATTTATTTACATTTTCATTGAAAAATTTTCCTATACGTCATTAAAATACTTTTGAATTCATTCTACAAAATATTCAGATTCAAAATTCAATCAAAGGTACTTTTGCAGTATTTTTTAATCAAAATGTAGTCAATGAAATTCTCTGTCGATATGTGTACAAGTTGTGTTGTGTAATTCGAAAATAAAAGTGGGTTATAAAGTTTTGTCTGTGAAAGAAAAAATATTTTAATCATTAAAATTTGCTGTCATTTAAAGAATTTTGTCAATTCATTCCACCTTATTTTTCAACACGATTAAAAATGCCTGGGTCATTTTGACTTTTTACCTCCAGAGTACTATGAACGAACTCAAATTGCATTATTGATGAAGCTTTTGATATTAACTGATTATCTAACAACAAAATTTTAGAATTATTTCACGTTTTGTCCAAACAAGCTTTTGATGTGAATGTAAGCCGCTATGATTTTTTCCACGAAACAAACTAACAGTTGTAATTTAATCAGAGAAATTTTTCAGATGATGTTTTTATTTATTGTAATAAATTCAATTATTTTGTCCGAAAACTATAACCTATTCTTGATGATAATTCATGATAGTGAATTAATTTTGACTTAATTTCTGATTATCATACGTAGAATAACTTCTAATTAAAGAAAATAAGCGCTATGTTTTCGTCTTGTAAGAAAGAGAGAGACAGAGAAATGACGCTGAAAAGCCTAATGTTTTACGATGAACGCTTTATACGTTTTCTCATTTCTCCTTTGATATAATTTAAAAACAGTGTTTATTATTGTTAGATAAATAAACTAAAGCTTCAAGTGCAATTTAAAATCGACTATATTCACTATAATACCTTTTTCGAAAATTTTGCAAAATTCTTCAAGTATTTATTCATTTTTTGACTTTTATAAGAAAGCAGGTGCCACATACACACAATATATAAAATAAACATATATATTCAGTCAGTTCCCATTATTATTACTATCTCAATTTTATTTTTTTGACATATATTCAATAATTAATTTAATATGGGTAATAGTCGATCTCGGATCGGTCCAACATCATTCAAAGTATTCGATCTACACACTCGTGTTCGACAAAAAAATCAACGAGAAGCACTTCAACTTCGTCTAGCAATAAGAGATTTGAATATCGATAAGAGTGCACAGTTGACAAAGTATACGTTTGCTCGTATGGAATTGCGAACAAAATTACATGAATTAGAACACGAAAATGGACAAAGACAGATGTATAAACTATTCGAACGTAAATGAAATGAGTATTTTCCAATCTAAGAAGTATAGTTTTGTTCTGTGTTTTAGAAAATGATCGAACGTCAAGGAGTAGTAAGTATCCTTTGGTTTGAGAGAATCTCTTTTCATCTTGCATCAAGATTTCAACTAGCAGGTTCTATGTTAAAATGAGCATATACTTTCCTGTTTTTAATATTATATTTTTAACAATTAATTGTTTTACCAGTTGATATGTCATATTTTTTCTTTTTTGGCATAATCTTCGACTCATCGATCGATACAATTCAACTTGATGATAATCGTACTACTGATATTAGAACATCTACGACACTCAACAAAGATACTAAAAAAAGTTTATTGCTATATGATTTGGACGAATCTAAAAAACATCAGCATAGTTCATTATTAGACTTTCCAATAGACGCAGACGCAAAAAAGAATGTAAATACTCCATTTTACTTAAGAAAATTCCGTTGGGCTTCTAAACTTAACAATGTCCCAATGTCCAGATTTGAAGCTTCATCAACAATGTCATTGAAACAATATTCGGAAAAAATGAATCAAGTTATCAAAATAGCCATTGCTAAAGCAGCACGCGACGAACAAGCAAATGCTCGGCGAGAAACAAGAAATAATCCCGTTTATTAGTCCGCTATAGAGTAGAAAAGATCTTGAAGAAAATAGATTGTCTTCCTAATCCTTAATAATTGGAAAAAAGCAGAAAGGATCACGAAAAAATTGCAGAATGGATTCGGTATACTAAAATTTCGATAAAAATAGTAGAAATGATTCCGGATTTAGAAAGAAAATATTTTCGACAGAACTGATCCCGGAATAAACTAATTTTTATATTTATTGTGCAGAATTGATTCCGGTTGACGTGTGGTGCGAATGTAAAGACGGTGTTGAGACATAACGTTGAGACGCTTGTGTTCATGCCATTGGTTTAATAATGTTGCGGGGTATTCGAGCTATACTGCAACAAATAGGGAAACGTAAAGGACGAGGTCGACCGAAGAAAGTTAAATTTTAGCGTTATCGAAAGACTAAACAAAGATTGAAATATCAGAGACTGCATTTATTTGTAATAAAACATAAGAGTTTTAAAAATGCATATAGAAATCAGCGAAGAGCTTTGGGGAAGAGTATCTTATGTGACCACTTCATACGTCAATCTCGATTAATTCTGTCGTTTACAGAAAGAAAAAAGGTTTCCCGGATCAATTCTGCCGAAAATATTTTTTTTCGAAATTCGGGATTATTTGTACTATTTTTATCTAAATTTTAGTATACTAGATCCATTCTGCAGTTTTTACGGAATCAAAACAATTACCGTCCTTAATGATTGAGAAATTTTATTGCTTAAATTCTTCTTTAGAAGAATGAGCGTCTCACTTATTTCTCATAAACCTTTCAAGATGAATAAACAATAAAGAATTGAAAAGATTTTAGGCGGCAGTAGTTCAGATAATGTTTTCTTTTATTCATTTTAATGGTTTCTAATATTTCCTTTATTCTTTTGTTCTTTTTGTTTTGTTATTGTACATTATGTGGAGATCATTATCTATCACAATAATATTTCAAAAGAGGTGAATTAATTTGCTCCAATTCCAGTAAAGACATTTAAAGTTTATTTAGGCACATACGCCAAGAATATTTTAGTTGGATGCTACTATTCTAGTTAATGTACTTGAGGTCAAATACTTAGCTACTTGGCAAATTTTCTGAAATAACTGGTGGAGCACTTGTTAAGCATTTTTAGATTTAATACGTGCCAAGTACTTGGAAGAACTTCAGATACTTGCATATATTTCGCAAGTATTTACCGGATTACCTGCCAAATACTTGATGAAGCACTTATCTAGTACTTATATTTGTTAAATTATTTGATAAGTACCTTTTTTACTAGCAAAAAACTTCAGGTACTCTGGACATTACTTACCCAAGTACTTGGTCTCAGGTACATTCACTACCGTATAAGAAAATCCTAGTGTGGCACTGCTAGTGGGCATGACATGCCATCGGTCACTGGCACTGGTTGGCACCGGTGCGCACCCGTGCCCAGCTAGTGCCGAACCAGTGCTGTTATATTACTGCCCAAAAAATACCGCACTGGTAAAGATCAGTGCCGCATTGAAATTTATTTAATCAATCTAATTAGGTTTTTATTATAGTTGTTTATGCTGAATTTTGCATTACTGATCAGTACCACATTGACATGCCAAAACCATGCGGCATTGCCTCGACACTTCTTCTCTTATGAGAAGGCAAACATGAAGTCAGAAAGACATTCGAAATATTAAAACGACACTGTGGTGTTAATATAGACAGAAATTGACAAAACAAAATGGTGATTGAAAACAAAACTTCGGCACTGGTGCGCATCGATGCGAGATTTTTACATTCTTTCTGGCACCGATGCGCATCGGTGCCCAGAAAAAAAATTATTCGGTACCGGTGTGCAGCCGTGCACAACCAGTGCCGATAAAATATTTTTTCGTAGGGTAGGGTAGAAGCTGATTCTTTCAATTGCATTATTTTAAAACATTCCGATTTGTTATTCATAAAATGGTATGAAAACAGTGTAGAAGGAGACTTTAAGTGTAAATCTGCGATTGTGAATTTACAAAGACAACAACAGTGCTGTCTAAAGCATGACAAATATCGATATTTTTAGCTTAATTCAAAAAGTTTAATAATACAACTATACTTTGAGCACTAAACCTACTCATGTTATCATTTACTTCGAACAACACAAAAACTTATTATCACAGTGAAAAAGATGTATTAAAAAAATATAAATGGAAGTTACATGAAAATATTTATTTATTTAAGATTTTTTATTTAATGAAAATTTATGTTTATTTACATTAAAGAACAAAAAGAAAAATATGTATGTTTATGATATCGCACACTCCTTGTGTTTCGTTGAATGAGTATGATGAGTATGATGAGCATGATGAGCCGTTGCCGATGGGGCTTGACGAATAGATTTTTTATTATCCAGACTATCGAACCATGGATCCAACGAACCTAAGAAAACAAAT